ACATTTGCAGGAGATAATGTTGTCCGCTTCTAGTTTACAATGTCACCTGAAAGTGAGAACAGATATTCACATGGTATTGTTGTAGCCGGTGTCGCAAGATATTTACCCGCTAGATGCGGTAAAGATTCATATGTCCCTTCATGCTTTGACCACCATTCCAGAAGATGTGTGTCCATGCTGATGACGGGTTTTGCTCGATAACGATCCAAAGCAGTGCAGACTGACAGATGTTCATTTTCATCATCTGAGTCAGATGCCACCAGCGGACAGTTGCTTTTCTTTTTTGTGGTTTGGGTTCTGTAGTTTCTGCATTGGAGTGTTGCTCTTTTAAGACTTCTGAAAGCATGCTCCACACCTCATCCCTCTCAGATTTTGGAAGGCACTTCAGATTCTTAAACCTTGGGTCAAGTACTGTAGCTATCTTTAGAAATCTCACATTGGTACCTTCTCTGTGTTTTGTCAAATCCGCTGTGAAAGTGTTCTTAAAATGAACAACACGTGCCAGGTCATCATCCGAGACTGCTATAACATGAAATATATGGCAGAATGCGGATAAAGCAGAGCAGGAGACATACAATTCTCCCCCTGAGGAGGTCAGTCACAAATTTAATTAATGCATTTTTTTGTTAACGAGCATCATCAGCATGGAAGCATGTCCTCTGGATTGGTGGCTAAATCATGAAGGGGCATACGGATGTTTAGCATATCTGGCATGTAAATACATTGGAATAGGGCCTCAGAGTTAACTTTTTATTTCTAGTTTTAGATACACCTCTACCCCGATATAATGCGGTCCGATATAACGCGAATTCTGATATAACGCGGTAAAGCAGTGCTCCGGGGGACGGGGCTGCTTTATCTCGTTATATCCGAATTTGTGTTACCGCAAGCAGTTCATCTGCGCCTGCCCGTTAGTTGCTGAGGCCCTTCCCGCCCCCCCTCCGCCCCAGTTCACCTCCGCTCTGCCTCCTCCCATGAGCGCGCCGCAGCTCTGCTTCTCCTCCCTCCCAGGCTTGCTGCGCCAATCAGCAGTTTGGTGCAGCAAGCCTGAGAGGGAGGGAGGGAGAGAGGGAGCGGGGAGAAGCGAAAGGAGGCGGAGCGGAGGTGAGCTGGGACGGCGGGGCCCCGGGGAGGGCCGCAGCAAGTAACAGGTGGGCGCATTTCTTGTGACATTGTAAATAAGAAGAGGACAGCATTATCTCCTGTAAATGGAAACAAACTTGTTTGTCTTAGTGATTGGCTGAAAAAGAAGTAGGACTGAGTGGACTGGTAGGCTCTAAAGTTTTACATTGTTTTGTTTTTGAGTACAGTTATGTAGCAAAAAAAATCTACATGTGTAAATTGCACTTTCACGATAGAGATTGCACTACAGTACATGTATGAGCTGAACTGAAAAATACTATTTCTTTTTAAATCATTTTTACAGTGCAAATATTTGTAATAAAAATGATAATATAAAATGAGCACTGTACACTTTATATTCTGTGTTAGTAATTGAAATCAATATATTTGAAAATGTAGAAAAATATCCAAAAATATTTAATAAATTTCAATTGGTATTCTATTGTTTAACAGTGCGATTAAAACTGTGATTAATCACAATTAATATTTTTGAGTTAATCAACAGCCCTAATTATTATTATTAATTATATTATAGGAAAACTTCCACATATATGCAACTGACATCATAGGCTAGCAGGTTGCTCAGGGAAAGCAGTGCCAAAACCTAAATCTAAGCTTTGTGAAAGCACAACCACCTCAATGAGAAAGTAGTTTTCCATAATTGTTAACTTGCATTATCTACTTTGTCTCAAATCTAGAGACCTGAGTGTAGTAAAATGAGCTCACCCACGATCTTTGTAAATAGCTACTGTTGCTACCAACAGGTTGAACCAATCACCTATTAAAGTGCTTGTATATTTTCTCCTCCTGTTCTGAAAATCAAATTGCCAGACGTGGGTAAAAGGCTCCCTCTAGTGTGTTAATGCTAAAAGCAGATTGTACAATTTATAGGACAAAATGCATGTTTAAATTAGAGTTTTTTTCATTTTTATGCCTTGCTGTAGACTTTGACTAAGGTTTTACATAATAAATTAATTTTATTGATGCAAAAATTCCAATGAGACTTAATGGAATACACAGTGTGACGTTGCACTCCATATGCTTTATGAAAATATGCTTGGAATGTGAATATAATGTAACTGGAATATGCTTTATGCAAAAGGTCTCTTATAAGGTATCATTACAAGGCTTATAATTTACTGAGTGTGTTCATCCTATTTGTATGTATGTATAATTTTTGTACACCTCTACCCCGATATAACGTGGTGCTCAGGAGCCAAAAAATCTCACCGTGTTATAGGTGAGACCGTGCTATAACTGGATAGGGAGAGGAACCGCTCCCCGCCCCAGCTCACCTCCGCTCTGCCTCCGCCTCCTCCCTGAGCACGCCACCGCTGCTCCGCTTCTCCCTTCCTTCCAGGCTTGCCACGCCAATCAGCTGTTTGGCCCGGCAAGCCTGGACGGGGTGGGGGGAGAAGTGGAACGGCGGTGGCGCACTCAGGGGAGGAGGTGGAGATGAGCTGGAGTGGGGAGTGGTTCCTCTGCGCCCACCCGTTACTTGCTGCGGCCCTTCCCGGGGCCCCCCCCGCCCCTGTTCACCTCCACTCCGCCTCCTTCCACGAGTGCGCCGCAGCTCCGCTTCTCCCCTATCTCAAACTGCTGATTGACGCAGCAAGTCTGGGAGGGAGGAGAAGCACAGCTGTGGCGCACTCATGGGAGGAGGCAGAGCGGAGGTGAGCTGGGGCGGAGGGGGGCGGGGCAGGAAGGGCCGCAGCAAGTAACGGGCAGGCGCAGATGAACCGCTTGCAGTAACACAAATTCGGATATAACGAGGTAAAGCAGCCCCATCCCCGGGGGGGGGAGGGATAGCTCAGTGGCTTGAGCATTGGCCTGCTAAACCCAGGGTTGTGAGTTCAATCCTTGAGGGGGCCACTTAGGGATCTGGGGCAAAATCAGTACTTGGTCCTGCTAGTGAAGGCAGGGGGCTGGACTCAATGACCTTTCAAGGTCCCTTCCAGCTCTAGGAGATAGGATATCTCCAATAATTTCATTTATTTAATTTAATTTACTGCATTATATCGGACCGCATTATATCGGGGTAGAGGTGTATCTAAAACTAGAAATAAAAAGTTAACTCTGAGGTCCTATTGTAATTATGCAAAGTGTGGGCAATTACTGGGGGTTTAGAATCTTGCTGGCACCCATTTACTAGGACAATTAGCTGTAGATGGTTTATTTACCTGCAAGCCTTCTTGTGGACGTGGGGGCCAGCCTGTGGGTAATGAAGAATAAGGTCTTACAGTGATATGTTACTATGTCACCTGATACTGGAATCCATCTTAAACCTGGTTCTTTTCCATTTAGAACACTGGCTCTCAAACTTTTTTACTGCTGACCCCTTTCACATAGCAAGCCTCTGAGTGTGACCCCCCCTTATAAATTAAAAACACTTTTTAATATATTTAACACCATTTTAAATGCTGGAGGCAAAGCAGGGTTTGGGGTGGAGGTTGACAGCTCATGACCCCCCATGTAATAACCTCACGACCCCCTGAGGGGTCCCAACCACCACTTTGAGAACCCCTGATTTAGAAGGAAGGGTGGGAACCCAGAGAGAAACAAAGGAGCCCTGCCTTGTGCAAAAGCTATAAAAGGGGGTGGAACGGAACAAAGGGGGCAGCAGTCATGAGAAATCCCCTAGTTACTCGCTGAGCTGGAACTAACAAGAACTGTACCAGGGAAAGGATTGGGCCTAGACTAAGAAGGAGTCAGCAAGACAGGGTTCTGGAGTCCCAAGCTGACAGGGAAAATGGGCTCCAAGGTAGTTTCAGCACACCACAGCACAGACAGTCCCAAGGGGGGCTCTGTGACCGAACCCATCAGACACAGCTCTTTGTAATTAAACATACATATTTGGTGTTAAAAATACCCATCTAATTTGTTCATATCAAATATTTTCCAAATGATGGTGTGATGTGTTCCCTATAAATATATATTTATTTCACACATGGTGACAATATCCATGGGTTAAATTCCCTTATTTCTGCACCCATATCATAACCGAATTTGTTATGGCTGTGATGCACCCTCCCCACTGATTCGTCTCACCTGAGACTTATTTTCATATCTAATCCCTGAGGATCGTTTAAACAAATGCTTGATTTTTCAAAGACCCTGCCTGTCAAAAAGGTTTTCTTCTTTCTCCCCACGTATAGATGAGATAAGGCAAGGCTGGCTCTCTGCAGGCCAGAAGCATAGACAGCTTTTAATGCTCCCTCCCCAGGCTAGGACACCTGGGGACAGCCAGGAGCCCTTGGCTCCAACCGTGGCCGTATGCCAGGTAAGAGAACGAGCCTCGCCTACCCACCCTGATTTTGGACGTTTTAAAGTAGTGTCTAGCTAGCAGGTCCCACGCTTCCAATTTCACCATGTGACAAACCTGCGGTCTTCTGAACTTGGTGCCCTGGTACAACTGCCCCCCTCCTCTCGTCAACCCGGTATATTTGCCCCCCTCCCTGCGGTGGCTGAGACAATGCTGCTGCCCAGGTCACGGGGACTGTGCACACGCACCTGAGGCGCTGCCTACAGGCCCGTTCATTAAGGGTTGGGGGCGGCGGGGCTCGACTACACCCAGCACCCGCCCCTCTCCGGTTTTATCAATGGGAGCGGGTCGCCTAGATACCAGTGAGAACTCCCCCCAACCCTCTCAAGTCATGCTCGCAGGCTCGCTTCAGCTCAACGTTGGGAGGGAATGCGCGCCCCTAGAGCTCTGGGGTCCCGCAACTCCGTACTTTATTGGCCTTGGCCGGGCTCCGTAGCCCCGTTGCGCGTTACGCAGGGCCGCTCCTGGAGCGCTTGTGAGGCTGTTGCCATGGTAACAACAGCTCGCTCGCGCCTTCCCGTGTCACGTGACCGTACTCCGGCTTTTCACGTCTGTTGCGCCCAAGGTGCGGGTGGAGAGGGTAGCTTGTGACCCGCCTTCGATCTGCCATCTTGGATTTTGCGTCAAGATGATGGTGCCGAAGAGTGAAGTCAACCCACCTCGTAGACTAGCGTGAGATTCTGCGTTGACGTTAGCGCGTTCTCACGTCCGGAAGTGTGTCGGTAGGGACGGGGCGTGGTTGGATTGAGCCGCGGCGGCGGCCCTGGGCAGTGGGTTCTCCGACGTGGACAGCGGTAGCTACCGAGGAGCCGTGGGGCGATGGCGGCGGCTAGCGCGGAGCTGCAGGGGAAGTACCAGAAACTGGCTCAGGAGTATTCGAAGGTACCGGGACTGAGACGCCATGATGCCGATACTCTTCCTCTAGCGCGATACTTTCCAGTTACTAGCACCGATCCCGATCCTGGGACCGTAGTGCGAGAAACTGTTACCTGTAGGAATTTGCTACCTGTCGCAGTTATTCGTATGTAAGGGATTGTGAAAAAAAAAATCCCTGCTATCTGATGTAATTTTCTACTAGTAGCTGCTAATTGTTACCATTAGCAGTTACTGATACCTAAGGTGATTCTTATTTGCTGACTTATCCTAATTTGCTAAACCTTGACAGTAGAGTGGGATGGAAGCATAAAATCTTTGGCTTCCAAATGACCCTGCCTGGTGTACATATCAATTACCGCTTAATAGAGGATTGTAAAAAATAGTGAGGTCATTTAAACATAATTTATTTTGCAGCTTCATTTACTGTGCTGATAATGTAGCATTCGGACATTGATACTTGTGCCCAAGTGACCTGTGGGTTCTATTCATTTTAGTGGGATGTGGGACATGTGGTGGAGAATTTAAACTCTTAATTTCCTTGTGTCAATTATACTTCTATGCTGGTGTGATCTCTGACCATTACAGTTAATCAACTCAGCAGGCAGGCACAGGCAGCAATGCACTTGTCTTGTTGCCTTGACTGAGAGAGGTTTCTGATCAAATGGAGTGTAGATTCCAGGAAGCTCCTGGGGTAATATCTCGTTGGAGATGAAAGGGCTTGTTCAAAAGAGATAATAGAGTTTGTAGTGTAAAGATGAGCCAGATGGGTTTGTCTCCATTCTGGTATATTTAGTCTCTGGGGACTGGGTAGAAAGGAGAGAGAAGTATTTTGGATTTCCTGTTTCCCTTACTGAGGGCCATCTATACTCACCTGAAATTTTTCCTGGCAGAAGCAGTTCCTATCTGTTTATTATAGGGTCAAAATATGGCTGCCATCACACAGAGGCATTACTGGTGGTGGAGATGAGAAGAGGGACAAGAAGTCCTTTCCCTTCCCCACCCACTCCCATGTATGTGGAAGCCATACTGTTGTTGCTGCCTAAATATCCTGATGGCAAATGGGTGGGGGGGCAGAAGGCACTGCCAGCTATACTGAGCACCTCAGAGGAGCCATGAACTGTGTGGAGTTGTGATGCTCTGTACCTCAGGTGGACACCCTACACCCCCATTTTCATCTTTATAAAATGATTGTATGGTATCCAGTGCAAAGTTTATCATGTTGGATGTCTTCGGAAGGCTCATGATGCACTGAGCATGGTTGTTACAGTGATTGTTATAGTAATATTATAAGTTATAATTTCATGTATATAGTTATGAGGCTGAAAATGTATCCTCATGGCTTAAAGCAAGCCCATGCAAAAATTCTCCAAGAACAGGGAGGCAGTTCACACCTTGTCAGGGCATGGATGGGACAAGCCCAGCACAGCCTCACAGGAGCAATGGACACTGGCTTAGGCAGCAACAAAAGAATCTGTTAGGCCCTTGAAGGAGTCACCCCTTTCCTTTGGGCAGTTCAGGACTGTGATGAGGTAATGCTCACCTGACTCTGAGGGCAGGGGGGCAAAGCCAAGAGGAAAGAAAGGACAAGATAAAAGGGAGAGACATTTTGCCATGCTCTCTCTCTCCCACCTACATCTACAGACACCTCCACCACCAAGGGACTGAAATGCTGATCAAAGGGGAGAGCCTGACTAAAAAGCCTCTATGTTTTTAAGGACATTGAAAGTTTTAAGATCAGCTTAGAATGCGTTTCGCTTTTATTTCATTTGACCAAATCTGACTTGTTATACTTTGACTTATAATCACATAAATCTATCTTTATAGTTAATAAATCTGTTTGTTTATTCTACGTGAAGCAGTGCATTTGGTTTGTGGTGTGTCAGAAACGCCCCTTGGGAGAACAAGCCTGGTACATATCAATGTCTTTGTTAAATTGACAAACTTATATAAGCTTGCAGCGTCCAGCAGGCATAACTGGGCACTGCAAGACGGAGGTTCCCAGGGTTGTGTCTGGGACCGGAGATATTGGCTACAGTCATTTGCTTGCAAGTAGCTGGGAGCAGCTTACATGCCAGAGGCTGTGCGTGAACAGCTCAGGAGTGGGGGTTCTCTCAGCAGAGCACGGTAAGGCTGGCTCCCAGAGCCAAGGATTGGAGAGGTCTAGCAGATCACTGGTCTAGATAACACCAGAGGGGAATGTCACAGGAGTGTATTCATAGAAACATAGAATATCAGGGTTGGAAGGGACCTCAGGAGGTCATCTAGTCCAACCCCCTGCTCAAAGCAGGACCAATTCCCAACTAAATCATCCCAGCCAGGGCTTTGTCAAGCCTGAACTTAAAAACCTCTAAGGAAGGAGATTCCACCACCTCCCTAGGTAACCCATTCCAGTGCTTCACCACCCTCCTAGTGAAAAAGTTTTTCCTAATATCCAACCTAAACCTCCCCCACTGCAACTTGAGACCATTACTCCTTGTTCTGTCATCAGGTACCATTGAGAACAGTCTAGATCCATCCTCTTTGGAACCCTCTTTCAGGTAGTTGAAAGCAGCTATCAAATCCCCCCTCATTCTTCTCTTCTGCAGACTAAACAATCCCAGATCCCTCAGCTTCTCCTCAGAAGTCATGTGCTCCAGCCCCCTAATCATTTTTGTTGCCCTCTGCTGGACTCTTTCCAATTTTTCCACATACTTCTTGTGGGTCCCAAAACAGGACACAGTACTCCAGATGAGACCTCACCAATGTCGAATAGAGGGGAATGATCACGTCCCTCGATCTGCTGGCAATGCCTCTACTTATACAGCCCAAAATGCCATTAGACTTCTTGGCAACAAGGGCACACTGTCGACTCATATCCAGCTTCTCGTCCACTGTTACCCCTAGGTCCTTTTCTGCAGAACTGCTTCCTAGCCATTTGGTCCCTAGTCTGTAACAGTGCTTGGGATTCTTCCGTCCTAAGTACAGGACTCTGCACTTGTCCTTGTTGAACCTCATCAGGTTTCTTTTGACCCAATCCTCTAATTTGTCTAGGTCCCTCTGTATCCTATCCTTATCCTCCAGCGTATCTACCACTCCTCCCAGTTTAGTGTCATCTGCAAACTTGCTGAGAGTGCAGTTCACGCCATCCTCCAGATCATTAATGAAGATACTGAACAAAACCGGCCCCAGGACCGACCCTTGGGGCACTCCGCTTGAAACTGGCTGCCAACTAGACATGGAGCTGTTGATCACTACCCGTTGAACCCGACAATCTAACCAGTTTTCTATCCAACTTATAATCCGTTCATCCAGCCCATACTTCTTTAACTTGCTGGCAAGAATACTGTGGGAGACTGTATCAAAAGCTTGCTAAAGTCAAGGAATAACACATCCACTGCTTTCCCCTCATCCACAGACCCAGTTATCTCCTCATAGAAGGCAATTAGGTTAGTCAGGCATGACTTGCCCTTGGTGAATCCATGCTGATTGTTCCTGATCACTTTCCTCTCCTCTAAGAGCTTCAGAATTGATTCCTTGAGGACCTGCTCCATGATTTTTCCAGGGACTGAGGTGAGGCTGACTGGCCTGTAGTTCCCCAGATCCTCCTCCTTCCCTTTTTCAAAGATGGGCACTACATTAGCCTTTTTCCAGTCATCCGGGACCTCCCCCGATCACCATGAGTTTTCAAAGATAATGGCCAATGGTTCTGCAATCACATCCACCAACTCCTTTAGCACCCTCGGATGCAGCGCATCCAGCCTCATGGACTTGTGCACGTCCAGTTTTTCTAAATAGTCCCGAACCACTTCTTTTTCCACAGAGGGCTGGTCACCTTCTCCCCATATTGTGCTGCCCAGTGCAGCAGTCTGGGAGCTGACCTTGTTCGTGAAGACAGAGGCAAAAAAAGCTTTGAGTACATTAGCTTTTTCCACATCCTCGGTCACTAGGTTGCCTCCCTCATTCAGTAAGGGGCCCACACTTTCCTTGACATTCTTCTTGTTGCTAACATACCTGTAGAAACCCTTCTTGTTACTCTTAACATCTCTTGGTAGCTGCAACTCCAAGTGTGATTTGGCCTTCCTGATTTCACTCTTGCATGCCTGAGCAATATTTTTATACTCCTCCTTGGTCATTTGTTCAATCTTCCACTTCTTGTAAGCTTCTTTTTGCGTCTAAGATCAGCAAGGATTTCACTGTTAAGCCAGGCTGCTCGCCTGCCATATTTACTGTTCTTTCTACACATCGGGATGTTTTTTTCCTGCAACCTCAATAAGGATTCTTTACAATACAGCCAGCTCTCCTAGACTCCTTTCCCCCTCATGTTATTCTCCCAGGGGATCCTGTACATCAGTTTCCTGAGGGAGTCAAAGTCTGCTTTTCTGAAGTCCAGGGTCCGTATTCTGCTGCTCTCCTTTCTTCCTTGTGTCAGGATCCTGAACTCGACCATCTCATGGTCAGTGCCTCCCAGGTTCCCATCCACTTTTGCTTCCCCTACTAATTCTTCACGGTTTGTGAGCAGCAGGTCTAGAAGAGCTCTGCCCCTAGTTGGTTCCTCCAGCACTTGCACTAGGAAATTGTCCCCTAGCACCAGGAAATTGTCCCCTACATTGTATTCTGCTACACCTATTCTGTACTAGTGAGGGAAGCCCTCATTCCCCAGTGCTCCTGGTGCCCCAGCGCTCAAGAAATCATTAATGACACTTTAGCTGTATGACAAATGCTTAGGCAACATCCTCACAGTACCTATTAGATAACACTCGATACCAAACAAATTTTGGGAGTAGAGAGAACCAAGCCCACATTTCTATCTTTACAGGACTGTTTTTAAAAAGCATTTTACAAGTTGAATTTTAGGGCTATAACATGAAAAACCCTTAATGAAAGTCTAAGCATTTAAAAATACATCTTTATTAGTCCCTTTACACTGCATAGAAAGTCATACGGTCTACTAGTAAAGAACCATTGAATGCGCACACAACATTGAGTAGTGCAAAGCGTTATAAATAGTATTTTAAATACTTATGAAT